TGCAAAATCTCTTCCAATTTATTAAATTAACCCTCCAATCACAAAAATCACTATATATAAAAAGCCTTACCTGTGTGTATGTGCCAATGTGAATGTGAGTGTGTGTCTGTGTTTCACAATATGTGTATTTGTCAGTGTATGTATCTGAGTGTGTATGTATGTGCCAGTATGTCTATATGTGTGTGTGCGTGTGAGTGCCAGAGTGTGTATATTTGTGTTTCAGTGTGTGGATGTGCAGGTTTGTATCTCTGTGTCAATGTGTGTGTATGTGTCATTGTGTGTATCTGATTGAGCCTATATCTGTGTGTGTATCTTTATGTCAGTGTGTGTATCTGAGTGTGTGTGTGTGTAGGTGCCAGAGTGTGCATATCTGTGTGTAAGTGTGAATATGGGCCACTGTTGTATCCGAGTGTGTCTGTATCTGTGTGTCAGTGTGTGTATATGTGTTTGTGCGTATTTGTGCACCAGAGTGTGTCTATCTGTGTGTGGGTGTGTGTGTGCCAGATCTGTGTATATCTGTGTCTCAGTGTGAGTATGTGCCAGAGTGTGTATCTGTTTGTCAGTGTGTATCTGTGTGTGTGTGTGTGTGTGTGTGTGCGTGTATGTGCCAGTGTGTATATTTGTGTGTCAGTGTGTGTATGGGCCAGTGTGTGTATATGTGTGCCAGTGAGGATGAATTTGAGAGTGTGTGCATCTGTGAGTCTGTGTATTTGTTTAGGTGTGCGCATCTTTGTGTGTGTATGTGTCAGTGTGTATGCATGTTTGTCCATACATCCCAGCAATCAAACACCAATACAACATGCAAACACATCCCTGCAAACAGAAACATTACGTACAAAAACACCCTTGAATTCAAACTCCAAAATTATATACAAACACTCAAACACACCCTTCAGTCAAACACCAATACTACACACAAATGTACATCTGCATTTAAAAGCCAACACTATATCCAAACACACCAATGCACCCAAATGCAAACATTACATACAAACACACCAATGTATTAAAATTTTAAAATTATATACAAATACTAACTCTACACATAAAACCACACGCTCTTAAGTACTACAATCTGTTTACTATCTGGAGAAATTAGTATATACATATATGCACGAAAATTTTGGGGGGGTTCGACGATGTTTGTACCCTATGTCAAAGGGTTCCATGGGAAAAATTCATTGGGAACCCCTGGTGTAGGGGAATTGTAGGTCACATGCAGATAAATGGAATAGAATTGAGCAGTTAGAATGCAATGGCATGATCTATACACCACTCCATTAGCCTAATGTTATTTTGGTGTTTATAGTGTCCATTTAAGTGCATTAAACTGAGTTGCTTTGGTAGTTGCATCTAATGCTCAGCCTTTGCCCTACAAATCATGTCATAGGACTTTGCTCCTTTAAGGTAAAAATTATCCCTTCTAAGTTCTAAAACAAACATCTCTAAATTAATCACAAGGGTCTATACACTAACTGTCAAACAAACAGTAACCAAATAAATTTCAGAATAAAGAACGAAGTTCGGTTGTCGCAAATTGGCTGCTTTAACCCATTTGATTATTGACAGAAGCAGATTTGGCTATTTCAACTAAATTTACACTTCTGTTTGGTTACCTGTCATAAGTCTCTCATTAAGACTTATTAAGACAGCGTAGGAAAGCTTTGTAAGGCAAGTCCTGTAACTTCAGTCTGCGTGAAACCCTCACCAGGTGAATATGAATTGTTGTTTCGTATGGGTTTTTTTCTGCTATTTTTTATGAGAAGCTTGTGATTGAACAGGGAGAGTCCCAATGATGTCCGAGAGTGGTGTGGAAAAGCAGCACCTGGAGGGCATATTATGCCGGGTAGGTCCTCCCTCCCAGGGTGATAGTCATGGGCATCCACAGGAATTTTTCCGGGGAGACACAGTTATAATGTCATCCATGCTCAGACCCTTTTTGCAGGGCTGGGCTGGGGATACAAAGCAGCCCTGAAAAAAACATGTATGTCAGTCCCATAAGTCATTGTGCCATGTAGTGTGTGTGTGTGTGTGTGTGTATATTGTGAGAGAAAATGTGGTTTGGTAGTTGATGGCATATACATTAGGCCTGAACAGCAGCCTGAGGTTTAAGAGTTAAATGTCCCAGGGAGAGATGTTAGGTTTGCAAGATGCATCACTGGTACTCTGCAAACCACGGTATGGGTCCCTGGGGCGGAGCACTTGGAGAGCAGGGTGGGCCAGTGCTCCCACAGCACCAGCTGCTAAGTAACAGTCAGACCAGAACTTTTATTTTGCTCAATAGTTTCACCTATGTCTAATTGCACCTCACCTGTATCTGATCAATTAGCTAGCAGGCTTTTAAAAAGAAGGGATCAGCATGCTGCAGGGTGTGGAGGAAAAGCCAGATGAATGGTGTCTTGCAGTTATACTTTTTGTATTCCAGATAGGGATTTGCTGTGTATAGTAAGTGCAGGAGCAAGGAATTTTGTTTTGTTTATTTTTTCATTTTGAAACACCTGTATATATATTTCACCGAATAAATCAGAAAAACTGAGCTGGATGTGTCTTGGACTTTCATTACCCTAGAAGGCTGTGGTTACAAGATCTGTGACAAAATCCTACCTGGAAAAGAGGTGGTGTGTTACAATATATGTGTGTGTGTATGTATGTATATATGTGTATAAATATATATATATATATATATATATATATATATATATATATGTATTATTGGTATGTGGTAATTTTCTTTTTATAATTCAAAATATTAGTTGTCAGTGTAAAAACACAGACATGCTCACTGACACAAGCACACAAGCTTATTGACACAAGCTCACATTCAAACAAACAATATCATTGATACACACAAATAGGCTCACTGACAGACAATCTCACTGACATACACAGACAAGCTTACTGTACACACACACAAACTTAGTACAAACTCTAACACTCACATACGGTCACTACAGACAAACTCATTGGTATACAAACACAAACTTACTATAGAAAAGCTTACTTATTCACACACACGCTCACTACAGACAAGTTCACTGTCACACACATGCTCCCTACAGACAAGCTCACTGACACACACACATGCTCACTACAGAAAAGCTTACTGACACACACACATGATCACTACAGACAAGCTCACTGACACACATAAGCATCTTTACTACAGACAAGCTTTTAAACTCAGGACAAAATTTTGAATCTATTAAGCAATTTTTTTCATTAGCTTTTTTAGATAAGTAACAGATTTTTTAAGGAAAAGTAAAAAAACATGTTTTTTTCTAAATTTTTCACCATGTTTTTGTTTCTTAAAGTAAATTATATGTCATGATACAAATAATGAAAGAAAGCCCTTTTTCTCCTGAAAAAAAACACAATATATAACTTGTATGGGAACAGTAAATGAGGAAAAGTAAAGCTAAACAAAAACACCACAAAAATTTTAAAACAGCTTTGGTCCTTAACGTACAACATGGCCAAAAGTCAGGTCCTGAAGGGGTTAAAAAAAGGGAATATTTGAAAACATTTAAAATTACAATTAGATGTTACAAAAAAGATCCAAACAAGGAATTGCATTTATTTTTATAGTGTTACATTGCAAAACTAACAAGCACATAGGGTAACTATGGAAATATACTGTGTTAATCAGGCAACAAAAATCCAGTGCCATAAAGGGCAACTTTACTTACTTTAAATTGATTGTTATAAGTTTTACAGCTTTTGTTTCAAATTGAGGAACAGAGATAAAGACAGATGGTATTTTATGCTGTCTTTTAGTTTTAGAGCTTCTTTTTATTTCTTTTTTTGTTTGTATTTTACTTACAACACTTAACTAATAGTTCGTATATAAGAAAAACGTGTATACTCATATCAAATACCTATAATCATATAGATCTATGCAAATACAAAACATATATTTGGATTTTAACCTTTTTAATATAGATGTCTTAGTAACCACTACTACTTGGCAAATTTTTAATAAACCTCAGCAGTATAAGCTTATGCTACTCAGTTGCCTAATAAAAAAAACACAAAAAAACACAGTTTTTACCTCTGTATAACTATTGGGAGAGCAAAGTCCTCCCCAAAAACATGTATTACATAGGTAATAGCCACTAAATGGTTGAGCAGCAACCAGTGGCTCATAAGCTATTATTATTCCATCCCTTGAAAAATGACATTGGGTGTCCATCATATCATTAGGAGGGGAGGAAACTGTCATTGTTCCCCCTTTAATCTCATACCAATTTTTAATGTGTTTGAAGGTAAATTAAATAAAACCTGGACAGCTATGGCTACCCTGTCACAATTACCCCATCCCATCTCTGACTGGATTGTGATTTTATCAGTTATAGGGTAGGACCTGTTCCTGTGCTCCTAATTGTATGTTATATTGATACAATATGAACTTCCAACAAACAAGCTATAAAATGAAACATACCTTTACTATAAAAAATCAGGTACAGAGCTTGACACTTTATAGTAATAAAGAATAACAGTTCTACTTCTCAAGAATAGCAGAAGTAACACAGTATGGGGTTGCATAAAAAGCTCAGCTTGTTTATAATGTCAAGTTATAAATTATTAATAAAAAAGCCACTGTTATGAAAATGTACGCAAATAAAATATTAACAAAATTAATAAAAATAATAAAGGAAAACAAGTATGACATGCACCTAAGTAAACACGTGATGCTTTGTGAACATGATTTTAACTATTTAATATAAATGTTCAAGTCTGCGTTAAAATGTAGAAATTGTGTAAAATAAATATTTTTGTATTCACAGGTAAAGTTAAAGTAAGTTTTCAACTTGTATTAGACAGTCGAGGTTGGAATTATATTTTTTAGCTTGAATGAAAAATCTTTAACTTGGCTATTCACAAGAATTCTTGATTGCGTGACTCAGATGTCCCTAAAACTCAATTTGAACTTGACATAACTCAGCTGGGCTTAACAATACCAATTTTTAAAGTATTCTTTTATTATTATTTACTTTTTATTTCTGCATGTGTTATTCTGAGGCTGCTAGAATTATGTTATTAACCATTGCACTAAAACATTTTTAAGCAGGAGTGGACAGATGTTAAATATTATGTTTACAAAATAGTAACCATTAACTATTATGTATTCTGTGTATAATTTTGATGCCATTGATAATAAAAGAGTCCCATTACTGTCAAAGCACATGTCAACATTAGGACATAATCATATGCATTATGAACTTGTGTTTCCAAAATGAAGGAAAACACATGGCCAGTCTTAAGCCAACTTATTTACAGATAATATCACCAAGAGCAGGCACTTTACAATGTTTTTGTAGAATTATAGAAAGTCTATGCTTCGTACTCTTGTAACAGAGAGGAATTCAGTTTAGTGCATTCATATATTCTCTCTTCTTTTCCAATTTAAAAAAAAAAAGTACATGTGCATGTTCTCTGCTTTTGTTTTTTTCGTTTTTTTGGGGGGATATCTTGTAAATATTACTGGAAAACAAATAATGTGTAATACATTATTCATCATTTGTGAAAATGAAACTATTTCTCTGTCACAAAACATTTGTCAGTAAAAATGTAAAGAAAATTACATTTTAGATGACATCATCTGGGTCTGCTTCTTGGAGAGGAGAGAAGGTCAAGTAAGAATACATATGTGATGATAATTTTTTGTTAAAGACCACTCTAGCCACCATAATCACTACAGCCCATTATTAATGGTTTGACTCACTTTGCTGGGTCCTTGGGCACCCAAGATTAATCCCTCTTCACAGATCTAGTGAATTATGTCTATGTTTGGACATAATTAATTAACTGAGAGCATCAGATGAAGCACCAAAGCCAAAGAAATATGTTCCAATAGGGCTTGCATTGATATTTGTAATGTGGAAGGTAACACAATAGCTATACCTGTGTGGAGTAACGAACAACAGGCACCTAGAGATCCCAGTCAATTTGCAATCCATTCTGAAATAGTATGACTCTTAACCATGAAATGGCATGAGTAGACTCCTAGCACCATAACTACTACATGTAAAGCTAATTGCACACAGAGTACCCCTTTAACACAATATATTGATTACATTTTACTGCCAACTTGATATTCATCCATTTCAATTCCATGTTCAATTTAAAGATCTAGCTATTACACATACAATTACTAGTTACAACTGCATATGGACATTGCATATAAATAAAACTTTTCTCATCATAATTAAAAGAAAAGGTAACTAGATGCATACCTGCAAAAACAGAATATTCAAGGTTATAATTTTTCAATATAGGGTAATAACTTCTTGATCCAAGGAGAAATGTCACTGCCATTCTGGGGTCAAGAAGGAATTTTTTCCCTAGTTTGTTGCAAAATTGGAAGTGCTTCAAACTGTTTTTTTTGCCTTCTTTTGGATCAACAGCGAAAAACAAATGTGAGGAAGGCTGAACTTGATGGATGCAAGTCTTTTTTCAGCTATGTAACTATGTAAAGGTGCTCGTTAAATGTTCTGTCGATGCAGTGATGAAGTTGTTCACAACTGATATCATTTGGTAATATAATATCAATGTCAGTGATATTGGTAGTATTTAACTATCTCAAAATGTATGCACAAATTGAAAAATCTGTAGCTCCTGTTCAAACATAGAATACTCTCTGAGAAAGAAGAGAATCATAGTAAAGATGTTGTATGTGGTGTTGTTCTGCCAGTTCCCAAAACTTGCACCCATTCATATGACCAACGTAGACACATAAAAAGCCATTACAGATTGAGACCTGTTTCACTAGCCATGGATAAAATATAGTTCTATCATGCAGACATTTTACAAAATGCAGGTTAACAACAGTATTAACAACAGAGAACAAAGACTGGAAACAGATGGCTTTATCAAATATTAAGCTTTTAACTAATCTAAGCACTCAAAGGCATACAAAGGCAACTCGTCTGGAAATTCTCACTTGCCACAAGTGTTATTTTTATCTAACCACTTACCTTTAAGTAGATACAATAATCACACAAATTATTTAATTGACTGATGCTATTGTGTGTGTAAATGGGTTGATATGCAGAGGTATTCAGTAAAGCACATTACAAAAATAATTATTATTCAATTTGCTTACTTGCGTACTTTGGGGGAGTTATACAATTTGCCAGTAATGAATAAGTGACATTGGTTATGACTGTAGGTTATCCTGTAACCTGACACTATCTTGCTGAGTGAGTGTTATTTTACTGCATTGAAATCCAGATGAAATCTAACACATATTCAGTTAATTGCAGTATGCTCACAGTGCACAAAAAAAGCAAGTCCTTCACTTTTTGCTGCAATGCTGTGCAACAGCAGGAAAGTTTTCCTTCCTCACTCTCTTTGAACTGTAGTGCGAAGTAGAATTGAGTGCTTCTCATAGAGGTTTGATGATTCTTTATAAGAAACATTGTTGGTGGATTGTGGTAATTTCTATCCAATTCACTGGCTATTAGACACCAGTAATGATGCATTCACAAGAGGAGGATTGGAATTGAGCAATGAGACTCTATATGCTGAATTAAAGATGAATCTAATAGGTTTTAAACCCTTGAATGCCAATATAGAAATCTAAAAATAATTGGCATTCTGAGCTTCTCGTAAAGAAGTATGGAATCCAGTGATTCTTTGAGAAGCATTCACATTCTTTCTGATACTGACTGTATAGCCTTTCAGTTATTGATATTCTTCACGAAGAAGTGCCTCTAGTGGCTCTAATTCTTCTCGTTCACTTCTCTTGAGACTTGCCTTCCAGAGTGCTCTGATTGGCTGGCTTACTTATTAGTCAACCAATCAGAGTGCTGTTACTCATAATGCATAGTGTGAAAAACATTTCCACGTGATAAATAGCTCACATTGCATGGTTAATCCTTTCTGCACTTTGAGAAATGGTTTAATTTTATTGTGTTAACTTTTGTGGGTGAGTGGGGATCAGGGGGGAAAACGTACCCCTCATGTCATAATAGCCCTCACTCACTGGCCACAGGTGGGTCCTTTTTTTTTCCAGACCCCACAGGTCCCATGGGGCTTTTCTAGCCATTGGTACAGCAAACACAGACTCAAATGGTTTGCATCTTTTCCTAAGTTGTGTTACCCCCATATTACTATAAGGGAAGCTGAAAACCTCCCAATGCCCGCACCTGCCAAGCAGCATGCTGATTTAAACATTGTGAAAATATGCTCTCGCATGCTGCTTGGCAGGTGCGGGCATTGGGAGGTTTTCAGCTTCCCTTATAGTAATATGGGGGTAACACAACTTAGGAAAAGATGCAAACCATTAATTGACATCTGTTTCATTGTTAATGCAAATCATCACCATGAGGTTTTTTACTGGCTTGCTTGTGAGGTTTGGCAGTGCTTGTGAAGAAAAAACAAAGTTGTGTTTCAAAGCTGTTGTATACAGCAAACACAGACTCAAAGGAATCCATGTTTAAAATGGAATGAGGCAAAAATTAGATTCTTTGTTGAACTAATTTGCATATGTCCACCCAGAATCCTTTGTGGTAACATTCCTGTGGGAAAAGCAAGTCTTATGGCTTGACTGGTGTGCAGATTTTTGCTTAACATTGTATTGAATATCCACAGACTTCAGGTGGAAGGGTTATTTTAGTCAATTTTTCCCCAGTATCCATGTGTGTGACATTGTGTGTGGCATTGTGCCTGGATTGACTACAAGAAAGCCTATCACACAATGCCACACACATGGATACTGGAATGCATTCCTCTCTACAAGGTCAGCAAGACAATAAGAGCCTTCATCAAGAACGCTATGGGCAAGTGGAAAACAACTCTATAAGCCAATTCCAGGACAATAACTCAAGTGAACATTAAATGTGGCATATACCAAGGTGATGCGCTATCCCCAATGTGGTTCTGCATAGGCCTCAACCACCTTAGCAAGATCATCAAGAAGAGTGAGTTCGGATACAGGTTCAAGAGTGGAGCTACCATCAGCCACCTACTCTACATGGATGACATCAAGCTGTATGCCAAGAATGAGCAAGACATTGACTCACTGATCCACCTAACTAGGATATACAGCAAGGAGATCGAAATATCGTTCAGAAAAGAGAAGTGCGGGCAGATGATAGCAAAAAGAGGGAAGATGATCAGGACAGAAGGAGTTGAAGTTCCAGAAGGCCAAATAGAAGATGTAGAGAACAGCTACAAGTACCTGGTAGCACAAAAGCATGGCAACCATGAGGAAGAGGCAAGGAGGATAGCAACATCCAAGTACCTCCAAAGAGTCAGACAGATCCTGAACTCCTAGCTCAATGGCAAGAACAAAATCCAAGCCATCAACACATATGCTCTACCGGTTATCAGGTACCCAGCTGGAATAATAACCTGGCCAAGAGAAAAAACGGTCACCATGGATGTCAAGACCAGGAAACTACTCACTATGAATGGAGGATTCCACCCAAAATCCAGCACCCAGAGACTGTACACCTGCCGGAAGGCAGGAGGTCGGAGCCTGATAAGTGTCAAGGCAACAGTCCTGTATGAAACAAAGAGCATCCACAAGTACATCACGAAGATTGCTCCCAAAGATGAACTGCTAAGGGAATGCCTGAAGCTTCCACAGATCGAGAATGCAGAAAAAGTAGAGGTCCCTTGGCAAGGCAAACCTCTCCATGGGGTGTGGGTGTGGATGTGGCTCACATGACAAAAACCTACCAGTGGTTGGAAAAGGCAGGACTGAAAGACCGCACTGAGGCACTAATCCTAGCAGCACAGGAGCAGGCACTCAGCACCAGATCAATAGAAGCTGGAGTCTTCCACACCAGGCAATACCCAAGGTGCAGACTGTGCAAAGAGGCCTCTGAGACAGTCCAGCACCTTGTAGCCAGATGCAGGATGGAGAGACACAACAAAGTTTCTGAGATTGTTTACTGAAACCTTTGCACAGAATATGGATTGGATCTGCCTAAGCCCAGATGGGAGATACCACAAAGGGTAGTTAAGAATGACAGGGCTAAGATCCTGTGGGACTACAAGATCCAGACAGACAAGCAAGTGCTGGCCAACCAACCAGACATCGTGGTGGTACACAAGGAATGTAAGACTGCAGTCCTGGTGGATGTGGCAAAACCCAGTGACTATAACATCAGGAAGAAAGAACATGAGAAGGTGGACAAATACCAAGGACTGAAAGAAGGCAGTAGTAGTCCCAGTTGTGATAGGAGCACTCAGGGCTGTGACTCCCAAGTTGGGGGAGTGGCTTTAACAGATTCCAGGTGGGACATCTGAGATTGCTGTCAAGAAGAGTGCAGTTCTGGGAACAGTTAGGATACTGCACAGAACCCTCAAACTTCCAGGCCTCTGGTAGAGGACCCGAGAATGAGGAATAAACATAACACCCAGGAGGGGTGAGAAAATTGTATATATATATATATATATATATATATATATATATATTTATAACATCTGCTATTATGTAGTTACAAGTTATGTAACTATGACATAGCCGGGTAGCCCTGACAAACCACCCCTCCATTCCTTGACAAAGGAGCATACCTTGAGTATCCACGCATGCGCCCGGAGATCCGAGGCATGCCTGGCAATCAGGAGAGGGGTGAACAGCTGAGTTGGTGAGTACTCCTTTATTGTTGTCTTATATAAAGCTTTTTTACTGTAATGTATATTTTGTATATGCTGATAAAAGCTCCGCAAAGGATTCTGGGTGGGCATATGCAAATTAGTTCAACAAAGAATCACATTTTTGCCTCATTCCATTTTAAATATGGATTCCTTTGAGTCTGTGTTTGCTCTATACAACAGCTTTGAAACACAACTTAGGAAAAGATGCAAAGCCAGAAAAAAACTAAGTAAAAGAAGGAAAAACTAAAAGCTTTGAAGGGCCGGTATTATTTTGGAATTTGTGTTTTATGTGACCTGGCACTGAGACTCACACTTTAAAAGTTGGACTGCAGGGATTTTGACTTTTCTATATATATTTATTTATAGCATTATGTAGTAGATGACACACACACGCACACACACACATATATATATATATATATATATATATGTATATAGTATTACAGCCTTTTCCATTCATATTTTCCTCATTTTATCATATTTTATATTTGTTGATGAAATTGTGTTATTTTGACTTAGAAAAATTATAAGTTATACTGTCATTAATATACAGCATTCTTGATCACAGATTCACCAAATTTTATCTTTATATTTTAAATCATAATACTCAATTTTTTACATTTTGGATGTGAATTAGCAGATGCAACAGAAGTACTTTCCTTAAAAGCATTCACTCTTTTATCAAATTAATAGCCTGCTCTCAGACAAGACTAGAAAAAAAAACAGATGATTAACCTAATTGCTTTGTCCATCAGTATAAATACTTTGTATGCAGTGCTGCTATGGAGCTTTGTGTTGCTATAATTTAGGGTGCAATGGATTTTCAGTACCTTTTATACAAGAGCCAGTAATTATGGGTTACGGGCCAATACTTGTGGATACTGAATGGATAATATCTCAGGCTACACCACAGCTAATAACATGCGTAGTCAGTTTGCTACTTCAGTGAAATGCAGAGATCTTTATTGTGGTTTTAATGTTATTTTCTGATAACATGTTTATCAAACCACACAAAATTCAGATGCTATTAATGACTTCAACAGTAATAATTTAATTATTAATAATAGTAATAAAAAGGGCTATAAGCAACAATGCAGGTAGAAAAACGCTAGACACTAAACACAGAAATATAGAAATACACATACTGCTGGTATTGATGCAAATTAAAATCATATGTATTTTTATGATACTGTATTTGAAGATTTTTCAAGTCGCCACTATGACACATGTGCCTGATACTGCAGATGACAAAAATCATTATACACTACAGCTATACAGATACAAATACAGCTATCTATGACCAAAACAATTTTAAAGAGTTTTTCCAAGTAGTTTTGATTTCCACAGTTAATAAAAAAAAATATACATTGCCATATTTGTAGTCATTTCAAAATAGACACCAAATCCCATGGCTGACTATATGTATAAGCAGCTTCAAAGAAGGTGTGACGGTAGTAGAAAATATCCCCGTCAAGCATTCCCTTCTTCCCATAAAAGAAAAGCACTCAATATTCCATAAGCAGAAATATCCCTGGAATCGCCGAATAATCCACACATGAGCCAAAGCTTAATGCTGGAACAAGACTGATTTACTGGCACACAGAACTCACAATTTAAGCAACACAAAACTCCTCCTCTGGGCCAGGCTAGATAATTGAGTTTCTACAATACACAAAGCTCAATTATCTGCTGGCCAGAAACATTACAATTTATAACAATTTCAGAAACATACTTTCTATAAGACATACAATTATACTTTTAACATCCCTGGATAGCTGAGGATACTGGTAGTCACATATCCAAATCTCACGAATTTCCGTTCGGTAGTTTCCGTGTCGCATCGTGTGGAAGTTTGACCGGCTTGCTATGTGGAGGTATCCGAGTTACAGTTCCATAGAATCAGTAGCAAGAGCCGGTCTCCGTTCGCATCTAACTACACGAAAACTACCGTTCGTATGGTTCAGCTGGTTACCTGTGAATGTTCCCCTCGTTCGGTAGATACCATCTACCGAACGCCAGTTTGATTCGTGCAGGGGAACGTATTCATCCAGGACTTCCATGGGGGACCGGGCGTTCCCATGTTTCCCGTACCGAAAACAGTTCCATGCAATTCATGTGTAAGCCCCGCTGACCGCATTCGTGAGTTTTAAGATGCCACCTAGTAGCAATTAAGTTGCGGTTTTCTCTGTGTTCTACTTGCTACTTGCTACCCAGGGTGTGTGGTCCCCGTTCGGTACACGAATACATTCATTCTCAACATTTGGAACCGAACAATATAGACATTAAAATAGCAGGGAGAGAATTAAACTGAAGCATATAGGTAATTGCATAAAAGTCCTTCACAGAAGGTTTTTATAGTTTTGAAAAAAATGTTTGCAAAAACAAATGAGAGCCACATCAAGTGATATATGGCTTTCATATACAGCTCACCTGAATTCCACACATTATGATGTATTTTAAAAAGACATTGTATTCAGTTCAAAATGGCAACCATATGACTACGATCTTCTCTTGAACAAAACTGAATCTAGGTCACAGCATAATCTCACACAGCAATGTGTACATGGTTTTATAAGTGGTTCTGTAGAAAATGATTTTTGAATATTGTGCACAATTTGTCAGAAAAATAAA